CCACGAGGATATTCCATGAGGGTGGAAGTGTAGCAGAAGGTAAGAGCAGTAGCTATTTGGACCTTTTTGTCTTTAAGGGGATCGACACACTTGTTGTTTTTGCAGCAACAAGACAGTTTATCACCAGAATAATTATATTGTTTCTTATTCATGTCATCAAGATGCCAAATGCAATCTTAGTTTGGGGCTTAAATATGACATTTTATAAACATTATATTATAGGCAAGATATTTATGTACAAAAATGTCTAAATGCCACAGCATGATATCAACTCAAATATTAAAATAGATTTTTAAAAATAAATGTTGACCTTTTCTATTTCATATCTGATGCTCAGACTGATGATGTTGGTGCTTATATGTATTGTGTGTCTGTCTATTATCTCTGTCTGCCTTTCTATCAGTCTGTCTATATCTATATGTCTGTCTGCTTGCCTGCTTGCCTGCTTGCCTGCCTGCCTGCCTGCCTGCCTACCTACCTACCTACCTACCTACCCACATACCTATCTATCTATCTATCTATCTATCTATCTATCTATCTATCTATCTATCTATCTATCTATCTATCTATCTATCTATCTATCTATCTATCTATCTATCTATCTATCTATCTATCATTGGAGCCTGGTTCGAAGAAGGAGGAGGAGGAGTTGGAACCAGGACTGTCCAATGGGAATGGCACGTCTCCCTTGGAATGTTTGGAGAGGCCAGGGGCTGAGGACAATGCTGCCCAGGCCCCTCAGACACTAGAGGAGGTGGTCGATCAGATGGAGAGCTCTCTGCCCTCACAGACACAGGGGAGGATTGGCTGCTGACAGCAGTGTGCTAATAGGCAGTAGATCCCCTCTGATGAGGAACAGCTGCCTCCCCCACTCGATCCAAGGGCACGGAGAATGGAGAATAGGCAACTCAGAGAAGGGCTGAGAGGCTACTCGGGAGAAGGCAGCCAACCCCTCCCCACAAGGAGCACCTAGAGTGGTTTGAATTAAGGAGAAGTTGTGGGGAGTTAATTGTTGCCAGAAACAATTGTTTAATTTGGTTTACACTCTCCAGATTTTGACTCTAGTCTCTTCCCTTTTGCCTTTTGCCTTGCCTTGCGGACTGCCTTTTGCTTTGTTCCTTGTCTTTGCCTTGCGGACTGCCTTTTGTCTTGTGCCTTGCCTTTGCCTTGTGGGGGACTGGACTTGGGACCCTGGACCTTGCCCTGTGAGCGTGCTCCTACTCTGTGGAATTTCTTTGTTATATATGGGCTGTTGTTTAAGGTAGCTGTCTTCAGGATAGCGTGGGGTGGAGCCTTTCTGGTAGTTGGAGATTCGTTTATTGGAACATTTACTTAAAGCAGTAAAGGACTCTCTGGAGGCCTGCTTTGCCTTGACAACCTGGATCATAACACTATCTGTCTATCGGTCTATCAATCATCTATCTATTTATATATATTTATAACCCTAGCTTAAAGACTGCCTTGTTTAGTGATCATTCACTAACCCAAATTGGTCCTATCATCTTTGAATATCATAGCATCTCAGTGGTCATGTAATTGAGAATAAGGCATTTCGCAACCAGTGGATTTTTATGCATTTATGTGATTGTCATTTGAGTGATTCATAGTTGGCTTCCAACAAGAAAAGTCAAAGGAGAAGCCAGCAGTAAAGTCACAACTCACAGTCATGTGACAGCTTGCTTAATGATGGAGTTGATTAGCAAACAATCCCAATTGTAATCATTCATCAAGGGCTATCTCTGTGTGTCAAAGTGCAATGGCTCAGTGGTTAAAGATGCTGGGCTTGCCTACTGGAAAGTCAAGAACCCAGGTCTGAGACTGCACGATGAGGTGAGCTCCTATTACTTGCCCCAACTCCTACCCACCTATGCAAATGCGAGTGGATAAACAGGTATCGCTTTGGTGGGAACTTAACAGTGTTCCATGTGCCTCAGCATATAGTCATGCTGGCCACATCACCATGGAAATGTTTTGGATAACACAGGCTCCCTTAGCTAAGAAACAAAGATGAGTACTGCTCCCTAGACTCAGACACAACTGGACAGAGGAAAACTTTACCTTTATCTCTATGTGTATGTGTGTGTAAATTTGTGTATAACTATTTATTTATCTGTCTAAGGCAGACATGTCAAACTCATGACGTCACGTGACATCACACAATGTATTGGGATGGTTTTGCCATTGCCAGCAATGTGGTGGGTGTGGCTTCCAGATGACGCATCCGGCCTGGGGGCCAGCAGTTTGACACCCCTGGTCTAAGGTAACGATCTGCCCCAGCTGGTCCCTCAGAAAAGCAAAACTCTTGATTCCATTACTGTTAATCAAAATAACTTTTACTGAGAGATAGTGGATGCAGAAAAGTCAGTCGGAATCTGGAGGTCCCACTCAAAGCTCAAAGCAATTCTTTCATTTTCCCAAAATCCAACCTCTCTGACTAATCCACTGGCAGCCAAGATGATGCCATAGAGATGTTATGAGAACACTGAGGTGCTGGGTAGATAACAGGTCATTCTCAGAGCACGATGGCCTTGGAACCAGGCTTGAACAGGCTGGGAAGGAGTCTGTTTCTTCTCTGAAGACAACCCCCCTCCCTAATTCCCAAGCAGTTACAACAAGCAAAAGCATGCAAAGAATGCCAGAAACCTCCCTCCCCCTCCCTCCAACAGAATGGCAGGACACCTGCATGGTGGACCTGACAGTCAATGAGAATTAGCAACGTTATATAGGGAAGTCTCTTTGTGACTTCAGAAGCTTCAGAAGCAATTTGTCATGTTGTGGAGAAATTTGGACAGAACTGGGTCAGGAATAATATTTGAGGAACTATTATTTGAGCCAAACAACAAAACTGTAAATTTGAGCCCATTAAACTGAGGATGAAGAAATATTTGCCAATTTTTGATGCCAGCTGCTTCATATTATATTTATTTCACAATATATCAAAGAACAAACAAGACAATATTTTAAACAGAAAAAAACACTGTTATTGCGATAACTGCGACTTGTGAAATCGAAAATCATCAAAGAGATGGGGCTTAGAGTGCACAAATTGTGGCTGCCATTTTCACTTTTTTGATCTCCTGTATGTGCCTACTTTCTTCTAAGTCAAATTGATACTTCTGTAGCTGTAACAAATTGGAGTCATTAGGGACTTCTGAGAAGAAATGGTGGATTGAAGTCAGCTCTGTGGAGAGTGGAACTGACAGCCATGGCAGAAAAAGAAGTCAGTGAATGGACTGGCTCCTTGAAATTCCTCTCTGAATCCTCTCCAAAGCAAGCAGAAAATCAGGATTGCTCACAAGGACTCTGTATAAAGACTCTCCTTGAAGAGTCAATAAGATAGCAATCTCTGGTAGTTTTTAGAGCTATGGGAACTAAGGAAAAGTCATCTTGCCTAAGGCATTTCGGGTCCTTCAAATGAACACTGGAGTCATATATTTTCTTCTTTAATCACGTTCGCAAATTATTTATTAATGGCTTTTGCATTATTAAGGAACTTCAGAAGGGCAAATTTCTTTACAATGAGTGAGTTTCCTTCTATCCTTAATGAAAAAAGTTTGATGCAAACTTAAAGACTTCAAATGAAAAAAAATATTTTCAAATAAATAGCAAAGGGGAAATTGGAATACTGATTTTGGAAAGTTTGGAAAGGGGAATTAATAAATTGGGCAATTATTTTACATGAAATCAATTATACTTAATGGTATAATAATAATAATAATAATAATAATAATAATAATGATGATGATGATGATGATGATGATGATGATGATGATGATGATGATGTTGGAAGGAACCTTGGAGGTCTTTTAGTCCAAATCCCTTTTCAGGCAGGAAACCTATACCATTTCAGGCAAATGGTTATCCAGTTTCTGCTTAAAATCTTTCAGTGTTGAAGCATTCACAACTTCTGGAGGCAGGTTGTTCCACTGCTTAATTGTTCTAACTGTCAGGAAATTTCTCCTTAGTTCTAGGTTGCTTCTCTCTTTGATTAGTTTCCATCCATTGCTTCTTGTCCTGTCTTCAAGTGCTTTGGAGACTAACTTGGCTCCCTCTTCTTTGTGGCAACCCCTGAGATATTGGAACACTGCTATCATGTCACCCTTAGTCCTTCTCTTCATTAAAATTCCAGCAACCATTCTTGATATGTTTTAGCCTCCAGTTTCCTAATCATCTTCGTTGCTCTTCTCTCTACTCTTTCTAGAATCTCAACATCTTTTTTACTAGATGCAGTATTCCAAGTGTGGCTTTACCAAAGCATTCTAAAGTGGTATTAACACTTAATGTAATCTTAATTCTATCCCTCTGTTAATGCAGCCTAGTACTGTGTTGGTTTTTTTGGCAGCTGCAGCACACTGCTGGCTCATATTTAAGTGATTGTCCATTAGGACTCAAAGATCCCTCTCACATTTACTACTATTGAGCAGGGTACTACTTATACTGTACCTGTGCATTTGGTTTTTCTTGCCTAAATGTAAAACCTTACTTTTTTCGCCATTGAATTTCATTTTGTTAGATAGCGCCCAATGTTCAAGTCTGTCAAGATCCTTCTGTATCTTAAGCCTATCTTCTGGAGTGTTGGCTATTCCTGCCAGCTTGGTGTCATCTGCAAATTTGATGAGTTCCCCATCTATCCCCTCATCCAAATCATTGATGAAGATGTTGAAGAGCACTGGGCCCAGAATAGATAACTGGGGCACCCCACTGCACACTTCCCTCCATGTAGTTAGTTAGTTTCAGCTGAAAATAATAATGTTTGGTTGACAAGAATTGAATCAAGTATTTGATCTGATTTGATGTAAATCAAATAGGTAAACAAATTATGATATCTCATTAACAGCTACAGTGCATCGAGGTACATTAATTAGGCCAAGCGTGCTTGGATCAAAACAGTGGGTTTAAAGTTGTTTACCCCTGATTAATATAGTTTCTGTGCTTAAAAACATGCAAACTTTGGCCTGAATGGTTTTCAGATAAATGTTATTAGACTTTTTTTTACTTACAATTAGTAGAATAATCAGTAAGAAATAACCACTGCCTTTTTTATCCATTGCAGGTCTTTTCTGGAGAAATATGTCTTTCTTGGCTCTACAGAAATTGAAAAAAGCAGACCCTGTTAGATTCTATTTTGTACATTGTCAATTAAAACATTTCTATCTTCTGATGTTACATTTTAAATAATTACACTAAACATTTATGGCATATCAAGTTTTCCCATTAGTTCTTCTTTGGAAAATTAAATATGTCAATGAAGCAGAGATTATAAATTTTAATTTAAGCTAGTGCTAAGATGATTTACTATGAAGCTCAGTGTTTCACATCATCGAAGTTTAATCAGATAGCTTCATTAATTCTTGTTTTGAGCTATCTAAGATCACTATGTGAAATAGGAGGCCACATAAGTCCTTTAAATAAACAAACAAGCAAATACATAAATTTCCTTACTTTGCTGTTCCTAAAATGAAGATTTGCCCAGCATTATTCTCTATAAGATAGGTTGAAAAATGAGTTTCTCCGTGGGTCAGGCTTAGATACTCTGCCAAATTACAATAATGCATGGAAATTCTTTCCCAGTAATTACAAAATAAGTCAGAACTCAAGAACTAATTTTCTCATATGAACCACCTCGACAGTAAGGTAAGTTTTCCCCTCTGTCCCTGTATTCCCAAGTGATGGCAAAAATGACCTGGAGTTTCCAACCATGATATTTAAATTATCTTCACACTAAACCATTATATAGTTTGCTTAGTCTTGCTGTATTGCCTAACCTTAGTGTATTGTATGAACATGGCCACTTGATTTATAAAATGAATCAGTAGTGGTTAATTCTATAAATCATGATTAAATGAAGTATGAGTGAACAATGTATGAATCCATTGTAGAACTAGTATTCAAGGGCAGTGGTTTTAAAATATGAAACAGAATGTGTATATGACCTTGGGGACGAAGGGAAGAGATGTGCCTAGGAAACAAACAAACAAACAAACAAAAGACACTGGTTTAATGGTGAAAGAAAAAAAATTATGAAGTACCCACCCTAATTGATCAAGCAGTTAAAAGTGGAGGCGGGAAATTTGTGCCTTCAGCATGCAAAATTGAAGTTTAAAATAAAGTAGAATTGGGTCATTTAGTCATGTTTCCTATCTGGTTTACCTGGGAGGACTGACAAAATATGAGTTTTAATAGTTGATTGAGAGATTAAGCTGAATTGGAATTGTACAAACTTTGAACATTTGTCTGAAAAAAGATTGAACTCTTCAATTCTTCCAGGCCCCACTTCTGAAGTAGAATTCACTCTGATGTTTTCCTTAAAACCTCACAACACTGTTATTTTCTTGAGAAGGGAAGAGTAACCATAGTAAACAAAGACTTTAATCTTTCACAACTCTTTTCTTAAATCAGGGGTGGGGAACTATGGCCCTTTTATGACTTGTGAACTTCAACTCCCAGAATCCCATGGCTGGCTCAGGAATTCTGGGAGTTGAAGTTCACAAGTCATAAAAGGGCCATAGTTCCCCACCCCTGATTTAAGACACTATCTTAAATGGATCTAACTCCAACACATTGTTTCTTATTAGTAAAGGAATACTTTGGGGATTAGGATAATGAAGGTTTGGCTCTGACATCAGGAGAAATTTGTTACAAATAGTAGTAAAAGCCACAATGGGAATATAATTTATTTATGATACGATTTTATAATTTGTTAGCTTTATATATGTGTACACTTTGAGAGCAAGCAACTAAATTTCATTTTTAATGTGTGCCATTGTGCCCACAGTAAAAAAATGACAATAAAGGTTATCTATCTATCTATCTATATCTATCTATCTATCTATCTATCTATCTATCTATCTATCTATCTATCTATCTATCTATCTATCTATCTATCTATCTATCTATCTATGATATACAGTAGTGGTTAAAATTGTGGAAACCTTTTGGGAAAAGTGTACATTTGAGGTTTGCACTCTTTACCATTTCCCCCTCCCCCATAAGGACAACGATAACTGTTGCTGCTAGTTTTTTCATCTACCTCAGGTCCCTGAACTAGACTGACTATCATGAGGAGTTCCCCCCCCCTCTTCTGCTGTTGGATCTCTCGTTGACGATCGGAATGTACCCCAGGACGGAACTGCTGGCTCTGCGCGATTCCCCCCTCGCGCAGGCATGGCCCAGTACAATCCCAAGGGCCTGCCTCGATGAAGGGGTATGGAACCCCGAGAGGTGGTATGCAGCAAGAAGGGAATTAAAGAAAGGAAAATTAAGAGACTTTTTAGAGGGGTGTTTTGTCAAATTTTTAGGGGGTTCGGGGATGGCCAGGGGGGGCATGGGGGATGCCTCTCTGAGCCCAAGGCCAGACCTGTCTGAGGGACGCGGTATTAGAACGATGAGGGAAGAGGCTGGGGGGTNCTGGGGGGTTAAGGGAGGGTGGTGTGATTAGTACGGTCAGTGGGAGGGGCAGATATGGCGGGAGCAGAGGACCGTATCGGGTTTTGGGAGCACGCACACGCTGTTTACAAGCTTGTGGGTGCTCCGGTCCTCAGGGCTCTACTCGGCTTCCAGGGATCTTAGATCCTCGGGCCCGGGATCACCGGCTGATGTTATGCAATGCCAGGTCCGTGGTAAACAAGGCCCCCCTCATCCAAGATCTTATCCAAGAGGGGGGTGCGGACTTGGCAGGTATCACCGAGACCTGGCTGGGCACGGAAGGGGGAGTGCCCCTCGTTGATATTTGCCCGCCGGGTTTCCAGGTATTCCATCAGCCAAGGACCCGGGGTAGGGGCGGTGGGGTAGCGGTCATTATAAGGGAGAGCCTAGGCCCGAGGGAGACCACTGTGCCTCAGATAGACGGTGGAGAGTCCCTCCTTGTGAAGTGGGGACAAGGGGTACAAGTGGGCCTGTTGATTATATACCTGGCCCCCTGCTATGTATCAACGGCCCTGCCTGAGCTGGCTGACGTAATAGCCGGGGTGGCAGTTGAGACCCCCAGACTTATAGTCATGGGGGATTTCAATCTGCCATTGGCGGGCGAAACGTCGGCGGCAGCTCGGGAGTTCCTGGCTTCCATGACGGCCTTGGACCTGACCCAATTAATTCATGCCCCCACCCACACAGGAGGACACACACTGGATCTAATTTTTGTCTCTGGCCAGTGGCAGAATGATCTGGAAATGGGGGAGATAGTTATAGAGCCCCTGTCATGGTCAGATCATTCACTCCTTAGGATGGACTTCTGGACCGCTCCCCCCCGCCGCAGGGAGACGGAACCGCATAGATGGTTCCGTCCCAGGCGCCTGATGGACCCGGAGAGGTTCCTGACGGAGCTTGGGCCATATCCGGAGGATCTAGTTCACGACTCGGCTGAAAATCTGGCGGTGGCCTGGGATGTGGCCGCTGCCGCAGCACTGGACCGAGTCGTGCCTTTGCGGCCTCTGACCCGACGCAGATCTCAATTGGCTCCCTGGTTCACCGAGGAGCTGAGAGAGATGAAGCGCCGGAAAAGACGCCTAGAGAGCAGTTGGAGGGCTAGCCGAACCGAATCCGACCGAGCACAGGCAAGGATGCATGTTAGATCC